GACAGCATTGCTACAGACTTAATTGTTATTACGAATTCTAACCGTCATTGGTTCTGTTACATGCACATGACACTGTTTCTTATCCGGTCCTCTGTCCTGCACCACTGACAAGGGAAAACCACTCTCGGACAACACCAAACCCCCCTGTTTAGTGTGCCAGCGCCTTATTCACTATGCTACTGTGGCTCTCTCATGATAAATCAAATGCCATATAGACTATTGACCTTGTTTAAAAGTTTCAACTCAAGCCGTTTGGAAATAATAGGCAAGACAGTTTATAGGGTCTTTCACTAAAAAATGTATTAGAGTATCACAATCCCTCTGATAGTTAGTTACATGGAATTAGAATAAAGGGCTCTCAAAGCCTCACATACAGAAATAACTAATTTTATTCAGTATGATTTTTCCTTCTTACTTTAAGATGAAACTTTATTTAATTGAGATTTTGCAGGTACAAGTTAAGTCAAGCTGATCAAACACTTAAACAAAATAATGTATTCAAAGATTGAGTCACATGTTTTTGATGAATGCATCCTTTCTTTCTTAAGGAGACAGGTTGCTGAAAATTTACATAATATAATGTTCAAATTTATAAATTCAACTACTTCAGAATGTACTGACAAATTTGTACTTGAGGAAACAGATATATCTTGTATTTAATTTTTAGTTCTAATCTCAAATCAAACTACTAATCTCATTGCTGTGATTTTTTAAATGGAGAGTGATATTGGGTGTTCTAAAAGGAGTAAGCATATCCTATCTTGTACAAGGCACCTGATAAGAACCTGGACTGTAATTCTAGGCGAGATCACTAATAATATCGTTAAAAACTAACTTGATAGTTAATAATCACATATTTATAGTAAATAAATAATACACTAGCAGTATGTTCATTCTTTTGTATTCTATAAGATTACAATCTTCATATAGCTGTACTCTCCTTAAAAGCTTATTCAGACAGATAGCGTAAACACTTCTATAAGCTAAACATCCTGTTTCTGTAATCAGTATATTTACAACAACATAGATCAAAATACTATACACAAATATATAAAAAATATCACTGGAAACATGGCAATGATGCAACTATAAGAATTTGGAATCGAGCCTGAAAAAATAGAGAGGCTTAAATAATTCTGCACAGTATGTCATTAAAGGCGCTGATCATACTGAGTGTTTTTTGGGGTTTTTTTTAGCAAAGTACAATATTGTGAAAGTGGTATCTCTTAAAGGGACAATAACACTCTTGCTGGCTTGACAGCTCCAGAAAATAAAAAATAGCCTTATTCTAAGTACTAGATGTGTTAGTGTCCTACCTGTTGTGTAAATTATACATTAAATCCTATTTTACTTGTCCAAAGGGTTCAAAAATATTTTTAAATCCAAGTCACATTTGAGAAGCTTTACGTCAGGCTTTTCAAATCATTTAGTTGAACTTTTCCAATTTTTTAAATTAGGTGTGTTAAGATGAAATTTGTATCATCAATTAATTGGAATATTGTAAAATAGTACAATTTGTTGACCAGAATAAAAATTGGGACATATTATTCAGTTACAACAGGAGTGGTATTGAGCCTTTAAAGCAATATCAATCCAAAAATGATTCAATTTCATTCAGTGTTTAAAATATGATTAACTAAAAATTTTGCTGCAATCACTATTTCATTGCAGTACCACCAATAAATATTGAGTCATTCGATGGGCCTCTTTTCCGTTCGATTGACAACATGCCGGGAGATTATCTAGATCTACTGTTGATGTTTTAATTTTCTTTTTTTTTTAAAATGTAGGCCTAACATAATCAATCTTAGAACATTTTAGTGTGAAGCTGTGAAAATTAGATATCGTCCAAAAAATGTAAATCACAGTCCTTTAACAGGCATTCAAGAACTAAATTTACCTATTGCAGGTCTTTCTTTAGGCCTTAAATGTTATATAAATTATGAATTAGACATGTATTAACATGCCAAGACCATAATCAACTCTCGATGCCATTGGATACTCAAGATTTTAACTAGATTAGAACGGTTCGGCCATTTAGTGATTCAATTCAAAAATGGGGTAGCGAGGCTTAGCCTCGAATATACCATTACCTTGGTTACAATAATACACAATCAATACACACGTCTTGTCAAAACTAAAAACAGTGATAACTTGGCTCAGAATAAAGTAATTTGAATGAAATTTTCAATATATTCATTTTGTATTATACTTTTTTGAACTATTATAGCATGAACGCAGAGCTCTTTATCTAAATCTTACATAACGCATCCTTAAGCAACTTTAAATAGATCCTATATGTTGATTCAACAACATACCAATTGCAGCTAAAAGTTAATATCTAAAATCATCCATTAAGAAAACCTCTAAATGTGTACTCCTACAAACATTATAAATCGTCAAATGTATGTAAAATTGTGTACTAAACATTACACACATTATCATTACTCACAATAATAACATTTAATTAAAACCAAACTCTTTCTTAAAACAACTAAAACTTCTCTAAATAGATATTCTAAATAAAACCAGTGATGAAATACAATAGAATACTTTCTTTACCTAAATTATTTTTTGGACTTTGTAAAAAATCATAAATTATTTCTCACAATGGCAAAAATACTCTTTTTAATGAACATTACTACATTACTTCTCACATTGCCAAAAGTGAGACTGCATTAGATAGCATCTTAATATTTCTCACTATGGTAAAAATTCTCTTTCCAATGAACATTACATCATCACATGGCTAAAAGTCAGATACAATCATATAACATCTTAATATTTGTGAACACTGAACTTTTCTACATCGTCAAAAATTATAATAAAAATGCAGTAAAAAAAAAAGAAATCCAACTAGAATACCTCTTAACACAACAAATCCAACAATAGAATACGGTTAGAATAATATTTTCATCTTAACATGTCAACGTTTGTGAATTGGTTACAATACACACAACTTGTAGTTAATAATCCACAACCTTCCCTCTAGGTTGTTCTTGATATAAATATGAACATTAACATCTACCTGTCCTATTAAACACAACACTAAATAGTTCAAAGTTTACTGAAGTAATGGAGAATTAAACCAATTGCTGTCCTCTCATCACTGTTCACATCCGCTCAACCGTGATCATGTCACACTTCAAACCACAGATGAAACTCAATAGAATGACAAAAAGTGTCGAACCACGAAAAATTGAAATAAAAGACCTTTGGATTCGATTGTTTGATTTATCTTAACAAGTTTTACACAAAGTTGACCAAAGGGGAAACTTTTTAGAGGTGATTTTTTGTTTTCTCTATTTTGATAACCCGTCAACAGTTCAACAGTATATAAAAAGTTTGCTGTTATTCAAAACATCATGTATTTTGGAAAAAAATCAAATTTCAAACACCAAACTTTAATCAAATTGTTCTCTATTAAAGGTGTATTTCTTTGAAGAAAGATACTGTATGAGTTGTATTATGATTATTATCAGAAAATCTGATATTGTAATGTTATTTCAGATAAATCTGCTAATGGTTGTATATATTGTGCTGTAGGATCAAAGAACTATTACAAGGACTAATGATACTAAAATGTCAAGTTTATATTGACTTGTTAAAGGATTATGGTATAGCCATTCATTAAGCATCACTTGTGATGATTTAAACGTGAAGTATGGTACTAAGTTGGGACAGACCTCAGTGATACAGTCGGGGTTATAAGGAAATAATCCTCTAATAAAAAAATAATCTGTACAAAAAATAACTTCCAACAAACTTGTATACTTCAACAAAATTTTTTAATACTGTTATCCATCTTACATTTCACATTCCCTTTAAGTAAAATGTGAAATAAGACATAAAACTGAGAGACTAATTTTAAACCTAGAAATTCAATCAAATAATTTAATTTTTCAGGTAAATTGCCGATGCTAATTCATTCATTGCTACACTTAAATGTATCCCTAAGAAAATTAACTGCACGAGAATAGTCAGCAATCTTTAAAACACAGCTGTAAGTCAAAAGTTTATTTTAAAATTTAATGATCAGACACAATAGATGACATCTTTGTCTTAAATGTCACAAGGAAGACGTAGATCTTAATATGGCTGACATCTTGAATTGCTTCTAAGAATACATTTATTTTACTGCCTGGTCTTGAAAAGTTGTGAAAAGTAGGGTTTCTATCTTTTGAAGGAAAATAATTTTTAAACGCCCTGTGAATAATGATATATATCACCTTTTTCAAGAGTTTACAGACACAAACTGTGAGATTAATGGCTTATATATTATATGTTTTATTCATTTCTTAAAAATAAAATTTTGCTTTGTACACTGTAGATTCATGTATATAATGCGCTAGTCCTCACTTCCACAGTATCAATATTGTATAGTATTATATAAATCTTAAATACATATATACTCAGTATCAATATTGTATTGTACTATAGATATCAGTATCAATATTGTATAGTACTATAGATATCAGTATCAATATTGTATAATACTATAGATATATAAATCTTAAATAATATAATATATACATATGTAAATTAAGTCAGTAATGTATGTGTAATGCAGTATATAAATGTCATGTACAAAGTATGTAATGCCAGGCAGTATCAATAATGTATACATGTGTAATGCGGGCAGTATCAACAAGCCAACAGTGAGGCTGATGTCCCATTCGAATGACTAGACAGCTGTCCTTGTCAGGCCCTCCGTCCTGCATCACTGACACAGTGGAACCACGCCAGAAAATCTGGATGAACTTTTTCGGCCAGTGCAGGGATCGAACTCCTGACCTCCAGGCTAGCGAGCCAGCGTCTTAGTCACTGTGATCCCCCATACCAAGTAGGAGTGATCCCAATTCATATCAAATATTATAATGTACATTATAATGCTCAAGCAGTATTATGTATATTATGAGATGTCCATGTCTTCCATTAATATATTTGATGTACTTTTGACCTGAAATTGAATATTTCATTCCTATAATATTTCTCCTTACCTTAATAGGATATGATAATTCACTTTGTGTTCCGCTATAAATCCGTTCACCCTGTGTGCCGCAATAGATCCTGTCGGCATATGCTGGATATCTGTGAGCAAGTAATTCCATAAATGCTGCTCGTTTATCCTCAGGGTCCTGAAAAACACCCCAAAACAAAAATAATGAATATTAGCCTGCAGACTGAGTTGTAATAAATTAACAATTTGAGGTCCCACACGATCCTGTGATTATGTGTGTAGGCTAATTGTTAATCAATGTTTTCCTCTTCTTTAATCAATTTACGTTTGTTTTCTTTCTTCATATTGAGTGATACGAGTCTCCATACAATGGGTCTTCATTTCTGGTGGTGAAAATAAATCTATTCTGGTAAAACATTGAACAATTTGACTTAATTTCCAATAACAAAAAGCTCCCAAAACATGTACACATATGATCTTTGTAATTCTAGTTCCTTACATGAAAACCTACTCACCAAAATGACCATTTTGGGCAGGTTTTCTGAGACTCCAGTTAAGTCCAGACAGTCATAAGTGGACTAAACACGCAATTCAGATCATAAGGTCAGTCATTTAGTCGTAGTGTTTGATCCCAGGAATAGGGTCACCTCGGGGGTTCCCAGGTTTCCCACCACTGCTAAATAACCTGAATTATTGATATGAAAATATACCATATGTTACTCCCAAATAACATAGTTTGTGTTGGTTGAACGTTAACCTACTTTTTTTCTTCCTATACATGTATATATACCAGATAAATAAGATATGATTTTATTATCATTAAAATCTTAATACATGTACCAAGTTTAGATTAGTTTATCAAGGTAACCATACTAACGGTACTACATGTAGTTTTTTAGTTATTTGTAATTCCATCCACCAAGTATTTAATAATAATCATTTTACCTTTTTTGCCATTTTCTGTCAAAATGCCTAAATATATTTTCTCATAATTCTAATACCTGGCTGCATGTTTACAAAAACATGATTTACACCAAATTACAGACTTTTCAGGAAGCCATGTTTTTACATGACATAGGATATCAACACAATGTCATTACCATGTTAATTTTAGTAACCAATTGTTACTCAGCTGATTTTTTTTTACATCTACATGCTTGTGCAGGTTATGTGTTGTTCTACACACCCAACATATGCTTCTATTTTAAAGAGGCAATATATGTTGAAGAAAAGCAAGTATTATATACTTTGGATAAAATAATGTAATATCTTCGTTTCGTTTCATACTTGTTCAGATTTTCTACATATCAGATGAAACATACACATGTAAATTGAGAATGGCTGACATCGACTCATTTATGCATATGAGTATATGAGTATATGATATTTTGGTATAATTGAAAGAGCTGCATTTTAATTGTTTACAATCAACATGTAAGAACATGACACAATAATAAAACTTGTCAGATGACTAGTAAAATTGTGTATGTTACATAATAAAATATGGAATTCACAATTAATATATTTCAAATAAAAGTCTAGTCATTCTAAATGTGTATGTATTTAGATATGATCTATAAAATCAGAACAAAATGAAATAAAGATATAATGTGATTTTGTCCTGACTATAATGCAATACTTGTTTGTGCTCCAAGCTGACAAAATATAGGCTGGAATGATCGAGATCACTAAATCAACGATGTGGCAACTATTTTAACCTTCAAGATTCTAGTATAATGTCTATCAATTATTTTGTTCAGATTTTAGAATAAGATATACCGTAGTTATAATGTCTCTTTAAGTAACCTGCAATACATTAAATACATGTGATGTATTAGCCTCGGGCTACACCAGTTTAATAAATGTCATAATTCATCTGTCAAATCGTGGTACAAGTTATTACAATAAAAAATCTTTTAATTAATATTCTAGATACATGTACCTGGTGTTTAATAATCTTGTATTGGTCAAATCAGTTATCACGATAAGGCAACATGGAGAAGATTTTAATTATAAATAAGATGACTTGGATCATCAACCTTCCACACCATCTTACATGATTTGGAAGAAATATAGGGATAGACAATAACCATCTTATTGTTTGGCAAAACCTATGTCAGATTGGTCTCCAGTAATATTCAATCAAAAATGTCCCAATAAGCGAAACGCACAACTACTAATGTATGAAGAATGATTCATAAAGTATATTATCTTGATTGGTTTTTTATCTATGCACTGGAGTAATAATTGTTTTCATGGAAACAAAGAAATTATTCAGAGAATAAAGCAAAGGGCGTATATCTACTATAACGAGTTTTAAAGTTTCTACTTAAGTTAATAGACAATTAGTAAATAAGACAATCCAAAATGTCCAAATGAATCAAGCTGTTAGGTACATAAGCACATCACAAGACATCTTTCTTTTAGTCAGACGCATTTATTGACAGGTAGTACACATGCCCTGTCTTGTGCATGATACCCATGGCAACTTAAATCTAAAAGAGAGAGACAGACAGACAGAAAGACAGAGATGGGGTTTAACTTCCACTCGACACAAACCAGGTCAATTCGGGAATAACATATGATTCAATTTTATTTCAATAATTCACTTGTGTGTAGGGGTCTTTAGCAGTGGGAGGAAACCGGAGGACCCGGAGAAAACCCTTGAGGTTGGACAGGCGACTCTACTCCTTGTCACATACTACAGGGGAATCGAAACCATGCCTGTTTACTCAATGGCAGATCTTATGATACATTCGGCCATCCAACCCCCCAACTCTAAAGGCGAGGTCTAAACCATTTGATCCAGAATTTCATTATGGAGATAAACAGTGCATGAAAGATATTATTCCTGGTATTCTGTCAAAGCAAAAAATGCCAACGATTGCATAAATTCCATGCCACATTTTATTCTAACAGGTCAGGCTTAAATTTCTTTCAGAATTATATCATAAGCCCTACTATGCAAAAAAAATCTATATCTTTTATATTTAAAACATACGTACACTAACTATGAGGTTTATCAGTCATGATTCTAACCATGACCCTATAATCAAATAATCAAACATTACTCATGATCAGAAATTGGCAGCTTAATCAAATATTAAAAAAAAAAATTTAAAAAAAGGTAAAAATCAAACAATGTTCCAGCAAACCTTCCAAAAACAAAACAATCAAAGCTCAAAAACTTACATAGTAATAGGCATTCCTGTAACTTGGCGGACGTGATGAGCACAATCGTCTCATTGTTGTAAAGAGTTGCAGCCAGCAATAGATAGTAACGATATTTGTTTATTTGTGAGGAGTTATGTCATACCTGCCGACTCCAACCACCAGATTCCAGCTATAACGCAATTCAATGTTCATTCTGTTTCCCTAGAGTCTATTTATAACATGCAAATACATAACACAACCCGTCTGCTAGTGTGGAGTCTAAATTCTAGTACAGAAATACTATATGTAATTCAGAATCTGCTGAGCTCTATTACATATTAGTACCATGCTTCTTAATTCACAATTCTGTCAATATTTCTTATTTAGTTAACCACACACCGCCAGAAAATTAGCTTCCAACAACTACATGTCAGTGTTTTTACACAAAAAAACTACACTTATAGATTTTCTACCATATTTATGATAGTGTTTTGTTTAACGACATGGTGCTATTCAAAATTCCAGAAAAAAGATCAAGTAGAATTCAAATTCAAAGTTTGATATTAATTTTCTACAAACCGAAAAATATGCATACTATCAAATTATATATCTGACGTTTACTTATGGACCTAAAATTTTAAATGTGGACAGATACCTACTTAGTAAAACCAAACACCACATCAAGCTTAAGTAAATGAACAATTTTTTGTGATATAGTCATTTGAAGTATAGTTATGGTAGTTATGCATTAGGCAGTGTAAGCTATTTTTTCCAGAACACTTGATAACACTTCTAATTGATATACATGTATGGAGTTCATGGCTAAAACATTTGTTTAACTTTGTACTCATCCCATGTAACTGATCTTGTAATGTATTCGTAGCTATGTGTGATTAAAGATATATTAGGCCGCGGTTAATTAACTGTTTGTTTCTCCTGACCCACCCACATGTCTGTTTTCATCCATAATAATTACGCACTTCCATAATTATTTGTTCAAATTTAGTGAGGTCAAAAATCTGTCCTGAAAAACTATATTTGTTTCCCTTTAAAAATGAACAATGAATTGACGCATTTAAATCCACTATTTATCGATGAACAAGACACAGAGGAAGTGATAAAGCCCTATCATTATATCTGTCATCCAAACCAAGGAATGGTAGCTACAACATTCACCAAGGACCACATAATACTCTATGAGACTCTTGTCATTTGTAATAAAATTCACAGAAAGATATAAATGTCTTAATTCCTGCTAAATTATTTTATTTAGGTGACTAGCAACCGTCCCAAAACTGCTGTCCCAAAACTCCCAAAACTGCTGTCCCAAAACTGCCGTCCCAAAACTGCCGCCATGTGATGAGGTACCGACAGACTGAGGTTACGACAGACTGACACGGCTTCACAGTATTTTATTAACAACAACACTACATAAACAGTCTCAAAAGGACACAAAGATACAAATAAATGTAAACAGTTTGATTAAGATAGACAAAATTTATATTATCATGATGCCATGTGCCGATGGATTCAAAGTTGAAGACAATAAACATAGGCCTACGGGCTATTGCCCATGCCATTGGTAGTATCTTCTTTCACGGCTAGAGAAATGACCACGTGTGTAGTAAATTCTTTGGACTGACATGTTAAATAATCTAACTCATTTTATATTCAAAAATTATTTATGTCAGAACAAATCATCAACCAGTTTGAAACAGGTCATTTAGTAACCTGTCAATGTAGAGACAGATAAAGAAATGAAATGCCAAGTCTTCTGATGCCCGGCTATTGTGCAACAGATATTTGAATCTATAAATATTTACTAAATGTGAATAAATTGTGGACACTGGTTTCCGTTGGGTTTTCAACGACCAAGTAACTGACATTAGTTATTGCTGAAATAGAAACAGCATGTTAATAATTAACTCATGTAGCATGTATATTTCACAAACTCAGGTTATGAGAAACTGACAATTAATTATCCGCAGCCTTATTCAACAAGCAGGTGTCTGGTTACACAACTAC